CTCCACCCGAGAGACTACTCATCTCCAAATCCCCTCCCTCCTGACGTTGTTGTTCTTTTTCTTCTTCGTTCCCACGGGCAGGTGGCCTGGACCCCATAGCTACCCTTGACCGACTGACATCCAGAGCAGGCTCAGACTGGTACTGAGAAATGGGGCTGCAGGTGGAGGCCCGTCTGTTACAAGAACCACTCCGTTATCAGAGTTCAAGCTCTCAGCCCAGGCTGGGTCAGCCAACTCCCCATCATCCGCAAACACAGAGCTGCCATTCCCACCAAAACAGCCGGCTGCTCATGCATGCCTGGGAAACTCCCCAGAACACAATGCAGGTGAGTGAGATCAGCATCATGTCTGCCTCCTAGGAAGAGGCGGGGTTAGAGTCATGCCAAGAGAAACCCCCCAGTTTCCCAAAAGTGCTTCCGCAATGAAAGATGCTTCCATTTTCAGCCTCATTCACAGGGTGCTTGGTCAGCCATGTGTGTGAAGTTGTTGAGCTTATCTAATCGCTGCAAGGTGGACAAGAGCACTGGGTGTGTTTTAATCTCTATAGTACTTCTCATGTGTGTTCATACTCTGAAAGGATTGTCCTCACTCTGTGTTTGTTTATTATGACATGCTGTCAAGTCATATCTGACTTATGGCGGCTCCAGGAATGAACGCCCTCTCAATGACAGAATTGTACTATCTTACTGTTGTACCGTTGTACTATCAGCTGTAGTAGAGTTGGAAGGGGCCGAGAAGGCCCTCAGGTCATACACCCTGCCCAGTGCAGGATTCCCCGTTAAACTGTCCTTCCCAAAGGGCTGTGCAGCTGCATCTTGAATGCCTCCAGGGTGAGAGAGCCCACCACCTCCACAGGCCATGGGTTCTATTGCTCTACAGCTTTAATAGTCAAGAAGTTCTTCCTGATGTCCAACTGAAACCTGACTTCCTGTACTTGAGCCTGTTGTTCCATGTCCGGCACTCTGGTTTGACCGAGAAGAGATCCTGGCCTTCCTTTTGGGGACCATCTTTCAAGGGCTTGAAGAGAGCTACCCTATCTCCCCTCCATCTTTTCTTCTCAAGGTTAGACATGCCCAGTTCCTTCAATCTCCTCGTGGGCTTGTTTCCACTCCCCAGATCAACGTTGGTGCCCTCTGAATCCTTGCCCTTTGTCCTGTCCTTGGCAGCCCTGCTCAGTTCTTGCAAACACAAGTTCCATCTCATAGTTCATTTCCCTTTCCTTCTTCTGCCTTAGACTTTCCCTAGCATGATTATCTCCCCTTGTGAGTCTTGTTTATTTACACTTTATAGCATGGGTCCTCAAACTATGGACTGTGGGCCGAATCCAGCCCACCATGCCCATTTATCTGGTCCACCTGAGAGGTTTTGGACTATGCGCAAGCGTGCAGGTGGGCGCGCACCCAGCCGCTTGCTCGCGCAGATTGTTTTGGACTGTCTGAGAAAATTATCTCCGCGCAAGCAAGCCAGTACCGTGCCTCGTGGGCCTCTGCCCCTGCTTCACCGTGCGCACCCCTCCGCCCCCCTCACTGGCCCAGCTCCCCGCTGGCACTGCCTTGGCGGGTTGCGCCCACTGCCGGCACCTTTAAACTGGCCCCCTGTAGAAAAGGTTTGAGGACCCTGCTTTATAGGCTGCCTGAGAACATCTTCCAAGCATTCAGGTCTGGCCACACGAAAGCGTCCCTTCTCTATTCTGAACGGCTGTTCCTTTCCCACCACATTTCTCATGGTTTACATGAGAAACAGAGTGAGTTTTGTGGGCGGACAGAGAGACGCTTTCCTCTCATCACAGGTAGTCACAACCTGAAACATCTCTGTTTTTCTTTCATCATGTTTATGGTCTGCCCTTATGGCTGATAAAGCAAAACTTGCACTAGTTTGGCTTTTGGTGCCCTTCACCCGGGTTAAAATATTACACTAATAGTCATTCCTGAAGTGGGTTTAGTGCCATCTACCTCGAAGCCCTTCCCAGGTGTATTTCCCCTTCAGCTGTAAATTGACCTGGAGCAACTTTTGGATTCAGGTTAGAAGGAGCCTGCACATGGTGGTGTAGCTGAGGCAGGGAGTGCAGGGGCTCAGCACCAGCACTTTTTGATTAGCAGGATGTTGACCCTCTCTGCCCCACCCTTCTCAAATGTGCTGTTCTCTCCGAGATTAGCCTACAGATTGAGCAGAGGATGGTTTCGCAGGAACAAGATATTGCTGGGACTGGTCCCTGCTGTAAGGCAAAGCATTTGAGGCTGGCCCATCTGGAGTGGGAAGTTCAGATGCAGCAGCTTGGCAAAAGACTTGCTCCTGGGGGAACCAAGGACTTCTTGACTTGCTTTGTTGACAACTGCCTTTTGGGGGATTTAGGACTCTTTTTTCAGGGAGTAGCTATAGGGAATGTTACAGCGGCCAATTTTATCTCAAAACTTACCACGGCCTTGCTGGTTGCAAGATAGAATCTTTCAATACAATGATATACCTGTCATCCGTTTAGTCTTGTGAGTTATGCCACACTATGGTTCCACTACACACAATCTGCACAAGTTGTTGTTGTTGTTGTTTCTATACCTCCCCACAGGCAAAGATACAGTGAAGGCCTTGTTTTCCAGGAATTTTCGTTTCAGTCTATTTTAAGATTTAATTTTAAATCTTTGTGCAGCTGCTAGTTCTTGCTCTAGTTTTTATTTCTCTTTTATACTGAAGTTTTATCCATTTAAATATTTATATACTGCATTTTATGTTTTTAAATGGTTTTAAATGCAAACCACCCAAAGAGTTTCAGCTATTGGGTAGTACAAAATGAAGTAAATAAATAGCCATAAGAATAGGAACAGGAAGAGAGACTTGCTGGATCTGGCCATTCACCCTGTCATCCAGTTCTGGAGGGGCACCCTCATGGAAGGCTTTCCTTATAGAAACGGAGTGAGTCAGAAGGGACCTCCTGAGCCATCTAGTCTGGCTCCAGTCATGACATGCCTACCTTCTGTTGGGGCAGCTTCGGCATCCAAAATCCCTCCCAATGTTTTGGCCTACAACTCCCCATCAGCTCCAGTGAACATGATCCATGGGCAGGGATTATGGGATTTGTTGTCAAAACACTGGTAGACGGTCAGGTTGGGGAAGGCTGAGTTATGCTTTGGGGTTACCTGCACCATTTTGTAGCAGTCCCACCTTGGATATTCTGGAGCAGAGAGTTCCCCAAGCTCCTTGAGGAGAGCTATTATAGTAAGAGTATCTCATTTTTTCTTCTGTGTTCACAAAAGCAAAGGTGTAGCCAGGATTGTAGCAGCCAAGCATCAAGCCTTGTGTCATTCAGATACGAGCCACTTCCTCTTTCTGCTGATACAGGGATGGGAGCTGCGTCAAACAGGGCCGTGTCCACAAGAAAAATGAGGACTATAAATGTGTAAAAGGAGGGAAGAAGGGGTTGTTACGTGTATATTCTCAGAGAAAGTTGTTATGCTCTTAGACATTCTTATCATTGTGTGTAAGGGGAACTTGATTGATCTTTGGGGCACATGGGTTTAGGGTGGTTTTGTTATATGGCTTTTGGAATGATTGGGGAATATCCTATTGTGCCCTTATACTTGTGGGAGGAGGTGTTTGGACAATGGACCAATCACACTCAGGAAAAGCGCTCCCAAACGAGTGGAAACCCTTGCTTCTGGAAAAGTTAGCGAAGCTCATGGAAGGGAGCAAAACCCACTGTCCTGGAGCTTTATTGTTCAAGCAGTTGGTTTTGCCCCTTGCATTTTGCCCTCTGGATTTAGGCATTGTTTTAGCATTGCAACCCTTCCTATTGTGCATTACTATCTTTCAGATGAAGCTCTACTAATACTACAAAACAAGAACAAAAATTTCCACAGTAGGTGATACCCTGAGATACTGTAAAGGGCAGGATATAAAAACTTTAAATAAACAAATAAATAAAAAGAAATATCCCAGTTTTGCACACCCAGAATCAGGCGTCATTAGCGACTTAGCACGTTTTTACATGTATTATTTCCCACCCTTTCCAGAAAGTCTACATTTTCAGGGAGGTGGAAATGTGCAAGCCATGGCATTTTGACAGCTGGGAGCCAAACCCAGACCTCTTTCTATTTCACTCTATCTATTATTCTACTTTTCTGGACTGGGCTAATCATCCCTTCCACAGGGACATATGGATATGTATATGCATACGTCCCTGCCAAAACCCAGGGATTACCCCAATTTTAAAGGAAACCTGAGCTTCGACAGCTGTCAAAATTCTGTGTTCAGTGCTGTCACACTATTAAATATGCAATATAGGGTTATTTCATAAGAAGGTGGTACCTGTTGTTTGATAGGTGGCGAATCATAGAATAGTAGAGCTGGAAGGGGCCATGAGGGCTGTTGGGTCCAACCCGCTGCTGTGGCAGGACACCAATTTGCACCATCCCACTCCAAATATCTCTGACACTGTCGTACAAGAGGTGTACGCAGAGCTTGCGCAGCACATACTCCTGTAACCAACTGCTGAGAGCAGAGTGGCCACAGGCCCGCGTCTCTGGCGCGGCGTAAATGAGATGTTCAGAGATGCAGGCTCCCCGGGAATCCTGTTCCTCTTCAGGGCCATCCATGCCAACCAGCCTGCCTATGCGAGCAGGGATGGGGCCGCAGCTCATGGAGCCAGGCCTGGAGGGGTCTCCTGGTCCTTGGGTGTTGGGCTGATTCATCAGCCACCTGCCATTAGACCCATCCCAGCTGGGATATAGCGAGTGGCACTCATAAACAACACCTTTTTGATGAGCCATTGTAAAATCACAAGGACGTCGATAACTGTTTGGTGGAGCCGTTTTTCCCCTGGGCTGTCACTCAGTCAATTGGGTTATCAATTTACAATCTGCCAAAGGGCCTATAAACCGTCCCAGTCAGTGCCACGACACCTGGTTACACAGTAACGAGAAGCAGTCTTTAAAAATCCAGCTTCGTTGCTGTCTAGCAAAGGATCCCAGGACCTGACATTCCTAGTGAGATCCAGAGCGTAACTCACCATGAACACCTGCGTTGCCGTGACACTCTGCTTGTGTGCGCTTGCATGCCTCTCCGATGGGGTCTCAGTCAAGGTAAGAGCCCTGGCATCTTCCCAGGAGCTTCATCTTCTAACCCTACATCTCTAGGGCAGGGGCCCTCACAGGAGATGCTTCGCATGCAGAAGCCCTGAGGTTCAATCCCTCTCTAGAAGTATGGCTGCAAAGGACCCCTGCCTGAATCCCCTCAGACGTCAGAGAAATCCCCAGGTACACCACGGTGTTCTCCGGGTGTTTGGGCCTGCAAGCCCCAGCCGACACGGGCGGTGAGTGATCCACCTAGCTGTAGACAGCTCTGGTGGAGATGGAGAGAGGGTCTCATTCAGCTCTGCCCATCTCCAGATGCATGTGGGCCAGCCCCATGTGAATCCTTGGGCTGCCCCTTGGCAGGGCCGTCTGAACGCACGGGCCTGATGGGCACTTGCCAGTGGGCCCCATACTCATCTGTGTGTGTTAATCCTTGGAAAATCAGCAAGCGTCCAACATTAACCGTAGTTGTAGCTGTCGCAGGGGCCCCAGGACACTGCTTTGCCCGGGGCCCATCATGCTGCTAAGGCGGCCCTGCCCCTTGGCCCCAGCTTTGTTCACCCCTGCCTTAAGGGACGTGCGTTCATGGTGTACCAGAGAATCTGCTCTGCGCAGAGGAGGCTGTTGGTTCAACCGCAAGCCTCTCTAGCATGGCAGACCAGTGTGATCCAGCACAAGGCAGCACCCGGCATCCCAGCTACGGCTTTCAGTGCAGCACTCGGCTCCTGCACTTTTCCCACACAAGAACTCTTCCAGGCAAACGATACTTTCTGGGAAAGGTGCCACATGCAATTCCTGAGCATGTTGTCTTTTCCAGAGTTAAGGGTGGCTTCCTATGCTCTGGAGAAGGGGTGCATCCCAGTGGCGGGTCTGGCAGAAGACAAGTCTTCGGAGCGGCATTTCAGGTTTTGGAACGGAGGGGGCACTGCGCACAAGCTAGGGCAGCATCTCTAGCTGGTAGCTGAAGGAAATAGGGTGCTGCCAGAGAAAAGGGGACCCAGACTGGGACCGTGTGTGGACAGCATTTGGGGTGAAGCTCTCTACCCAGCTCTAGCCCAGTGCTGCCCACTCAGAATGACCACGGCTCTCCAGAGGCTGAAGAAAGATGTGGTCTTTCCATGCTGCTTGAGCCCTTTTTGAGTGAAAACTACAAGAGGCTAAACCCAAGAATTTGGCATGCAAACTGAGCCCTTCCCATGGGTAAATATGGCCCTACAAAGCTTTGCTCACCCTACTCTGTGCTCTGCCTAGGTCTTCAGGGTCTCGCCATATTCTTCTGCAAAGCTGCTTGAGACTGAATGGGGCATTCGGCATGCAAAACACATGCTTTACAGCCAAGCTAATTTGCCATATTGGCCTATGCTCTGGTTGGATCCCTGCCACATATGTTGGACTATGACTGGAGTCTGCTCAAAAGCTTCAATTAGCGCAGCGCAGCACTGCCAGATTTTTGATGGGTGCATCCCAACTGATGCATACACATTACACCAATTGAAAAAAACATCACACTGGCTGCCCATTCATTTCTGAGACAAATTCAAAGGGCTAATACTCACATATAAAACTGCTAATGGCTTGGGAGCTAAAAAACTGAAGGAGCACCATGCCCATGATCTAAGATCTTCTGCTAGGACCTTCTGCATATACTTAGTGGACCTAAAAAGTAGGGGGCTTTCTTGGGAGTGGTATCCCTATTATGGAATGCCTCTCCAAAGAGATCGACTTGGCACATGGAATCTTTGAGGTGTGAGACAAACACATGTCTTCATTATTTTTATTTTCAATCACCCCCAAACCTGTTCAGATCACAGCCTACCTTTTAGAACTGTGGTTGTTACTCACATTGTTGTAATTGTGTTGTAGGGCTCAATTCTCAATTCTGTGCAGGTGGAAGACTAGCTTTGAGTTGGTGAAACGACTGAAGAACCTCCTAGATGCCTCTTGAAATGGTCTGGGGATGGGAGTGTAGGATGGGGCAGAGTCTCTGATGGAACCCCAGAAAAACACTCTATGGTTGGAACTGGGACTCAACATGAGGGGGACACTTTCCACCCTCCCCCCCCCCCCACCAGCAGTTCTTTCTATGCCAACTGGGCTTCAAAGATGGAAGATCGTCCTTGAAGCTGGCATGGGTGCTGGCATTCCAAGGGGTGGGGAAGGAAGGATTAAGGCACCTCTGTTTTCCCAGAGTCTGGTAGTGCCTCAGCCTTTCCTTCTCTTGAGCAGTAAACAACATTTAGATGGTCCAAGCTGGTCATCTAAATCAGCCTCCCCCAACCGGGTGACCTTCAGAGGCATTTGGACCTCAGCCTCCAGAATTCCCACCCAGCAGGGCCACTGACTAGGAATTCTGGGTGTTATAATCCTTACGTGTCTGGAAGCCACAAGGCTGGGAAAGGCTGATCTAAATGTTTTGGAGAGTGAGGGAAGTGCAGCAATGATCTTGGTCTCCACACGCCATCAGATGCCTGCAATCCTCTGAATTCAGAAGGCCGTGACATCAATGCTGCTCTTGTTCTTGTCGTACATTGTACACCACTCTGGAACTCAAACAGGATGAAGACCAGTATTGCGATGTTTTCAGCACAGTAGTAGCTAAACTTTAATGACCTAGCACCCTGCCCATCTCTGGGCTAGGACTTACGCAGCCCTTGCAAAGGTCCATCTGGACGTAAATGAGGCCCAGAGCTCCACCTGTTGCCTCCATGTGAGAAAATAGACCAGGTTGGTGATAGGCAAAGAGGTCTTCTTGGCCACTTTGCCCATATTTGGTGCTGGCACGAGAAGGCCAATCCTGGCTATATCGGGTTTTTGTTCCTGTGCAGGTGGGAGACTACTCATTTCCTCTGGAGTTGGTGAAGCAACTGAAGAACCTCCAAGGCGCCTCCGCCATGCACCCGCGCATGCGCAGCAGCACCTCGGTGCCGGTGTGTTCTCATCCAAAGCTTCCTGCTGAGTTTGCACCTCTCTGTGCCTCCCCCGGAGCAGAAAGCCTGATCCGAGAATTAAGTAAGTGACCCGAACCTGGAGGTGTCTTGCCTAAGAGCAGTTCGTAGAGACATTGCTAGGCCCACGTCAAATCTACTTCCCAGGGCCATGGATCTATTTTGCGAAGTATCCACTGATGCCGATGGAAGCATTTATTCTTAGCTTAATTGCCGTGGGGGAGGGGGGGATTAAAGGAGATCACCTGCCCTTCCAAAATGAATGACCAGCCCCCCCCCCCCAAAAAAAGATCCCACCTCCTGCATGGCAGCTGATATTAGAAAACCTTTTCTCTGGTATTCATGGAAGCTTCTTGTCTAAGCTCAATTGCAAAAGGTAGGGGTCAATTTTCCCCAGGAAGAAAAGAAAAGGAAAAGTGGGTGGGGGTGAGACATGGGGGAAGGGACGGGAAAGAAATTGCAAATCAGTTCTCACTGAAGAGAAACTGCTGATATGGGATGATATGAGTTGATTTGGATGAGAAATTAATGGGTCGGCCTTACCAACTCTCATCTTGAAGTACATTATAGTGAAATTCTAAGAGATGCTAGTCAAATTCCATTTGCGCAGACAGACATAAATTAGCATGTGCACATTTTATTAAAATCTGTATCCTACGACCTGGGCTCTGAATCTTTTCACTGCCTAGGATCTATCCCTGGTCTCTGGCCTTTATGGTTGGAGCAAAGAGGAAAGTTGGAATTAGTTCCGAACTACCTTAATCCAAACTCCCTCAACCTGGTGACCTCCAGATGTTTTGAAATATCACTCCCAGGAACTGAGCATTGACCATGCTGGCTGGGGCTGATGGAAGCTGAAGTCCAAAATCCCTGGGGGGGCACCTGATTGAAGAAGGCCACCTTGGCAACTGGGAAATGTATTGCAGCATTAAGCTGGCTGCTCGGGCTGGAAGCCGCTTGGTCATATGCAAGAAGCTATGATCCAGATGCAGGAAAAGAACTTTCTTTCCCACACAGCCACTGCAAGATGTTGTGCTCCTTTCTATGCTTTGCCTCTCCTCCTCTGAATGACCTGTGGTGGAAAGCCAAGAATTGCCACCTGCTCTAAAGCACCAAGGGAATTTGATGTTTTCAATTAATGATCAACACCAACTGTTTATTGGAAGAAGGAATTGTAAGCACGCATTCTAGAGGAGAGGAAGGGAAACTGCCTTTCCATTCCTGCCCAAGCACCCTGCCTCCCTCCTCTTAAACCACTCTGCCTTCTTCCAAGCTTCACCTTTTAATGCCTCTTTAGATCAACTTTGAGCTTAGACACAAATGATTTTCATTACTGCATACATTTGACTCTATTAGCATACATGAAAATGTAGAAGCTCAATATTCTGTCTTGCTTAGCAGCAACTGCTCCATTGGAACAATCTTGGACGTTCTTCTAATTCTGTTGCAGTCTTCCATGCAATTTCGTTGAAATGTGCAAGAATTCCCATTCCTTGGGACAGATTCCAACACCTGGAGTAGTTTCTCATATCCTGTCTTTTAGATCTCATTAGGTCTAACAAGATCTAATAAGAGTGTCTTATGTGTGACACATTTCCAGGTTCAAATAAGCTAGCACAAAAATAGGTGTTTGGGAGGTAAAATGTTCCCAAATCACTTTTTTTCTTTTCTTTTTCTTTTGCTTACCTCTGATGCATGTTGTCAATTCTGCATTTTTTTAGAAGCACACCAAAAAGGTGTACCCAACCTGCACAATATTTGGAGGCATATTAAAATGCACCTTATCCGAAGGGTGAATATTGTTCATCTGCAAGGGCAGGCTCTGGAATTGTGGACATTTTCGGAGAACTTGGTTCCCCTCCTGCTGCTTAGGGACATGTTTGCAAATATAAATAAAATCAAATTGCATCCCTACACAAAACTTTTTTTTCCTTCAATTTCACAAGAAAAGGTTTCCCTCCCTCAGAACTGACTATATAATATTTTCAGGAGACCTGTAAAACACAAGCACCTGTTTTTGTTCTGCTCTGATTCTTACAAAGAATAGATATGGTGATAAATTGCTGAGGAGAAGATTCACATAATTTGAATTGATCTGCTATACCAGTCCATCAGTCAACCAATCATGATCTGCCATATCTATCTATCTATCTATTGATCAATCGATCAATTGAACAATCTGTCCAACAAACAAATCTCTGCAAAAGAAAAGCTAGTCTGTCGGGAAATAGGCTGGTCTAGAACTACAGAGGTCAGAAAAATCCATAATGGATGCAAATAAATTCAGATTTCTATGACTTCAACCTGTAGATTTTGCCATGGCTAGGTCTTTTCTCCAATTCGCAACAAGTCCACCGACACTATGTCACAATTATTCACCCTTGCACCGGTGGAAAAAATCCTTGTGAATCCCTAGAAAGAGTCCCATCCGTGTGGAATGAAGCGGCTTGAAAATTTGCAAATCACAGAAAGAACTGCTTTAACAAAAACCGTTCCTCCTTTTCTCAGTGCAAGCTTTCTTTGTATGGTCAAGCACTAGATCTTGTAAACTTGTCTATACATTCCAAAATGCCCAAACTGAGCTCAGAGTCACTCTCCTCCTGCTTCTGAGAATGTGACGGCAATTCTGGTGGGGGTGAGACTTACCTCCAGGGAAACACGGCGAGGTCCTCCTTGTGCTTTCGGATGTCTCAGGGCTGCTGGACTTTGGACAAGCAGGTCAATGAAGGCAGGACCTCCCGAGGGACGACTCTGCAGCGCCTTGGAGCTGCTCTCGGGCTTCTTGACTCTCAAGTGCTCCGCCTCAGGATTCTTTGTCTTTCTCGGCCTCAGGTGATATCGCCGGCGACCCGGAGACTTGTGAGATCTGCGCCAACGTCGCCTGCTCTGGGTGCTGACGAAAGAGCCCTCCGCTGCCCCTGCCGGCGTCTTCAAGGGATTCCGATGGCTGGCGCTTGCTGCTCTGCTGCCATTGCACCACCCGCTTGCTTGCACAGATGGAAGGGCCAAGGCATTCTCGCTCCTGTTGCTCCGCTTTGGCCACCTGGCCGAACCGTGCATAGAAATGGAGGTTGCAATGGGCCGGAAGTGGGATGGGGGAGGGGAAGGGGAAGAAGGGAGAACACTGGGCAGCAAAAGGATCGGCCAGCAGAGGAATCTTCTTGCTCTTGCCACCGCGTTCCTTCAGCGACCCTTTCCAGTTCAAGAGCAGAGGCCCCAACTGGCCATTACCCCAGCTTTCTCGGAACAGCTCCTCAGATGGCTCTTTTCTGAAATGCCAACCAGCCACAAGACTAGACAATTGGGAACAGCTCAGGGATGTTGCAGAAAGAAGGAAGTCCTACCAGGCATCTCCCCCATACACGTGTCTCCCCCACCCCACCCACTCGCCTTCACACCACCTCCCAACCGGGAGAAAAATTGCTGGGGCAGGAAAGGGGTTGCATGGCCTCTCTCCTCTGCTCATTCTTTACTCAAGGTTACCAGCTTTTCAATATTCGTCTAAAAAATCACCAAAGGAAAGTTGGTAGCCATTATATGTGACACAGTAGTGCAAAAACACCTTCCCACTCTTTCTGTGGGCACAGAAATAGTGTGTGCTGAGAAAGGGCATTTCCCTGCACTTTTCCAGAAAAATAAGGAATTGTGCAAAATTCCCTGGGGGCAGGGGTGACCATGGGCTTCCCCAGCAGAGCAGCTTCTTCCTTAAAGTTTTGTTGTGTTGGCAGCTTGGCACCCTTCTGCATGCCCCACAAGGTCTTGGAGTTGGGTTTGGTAGAAAGGGGAGATGCCGGGCGCCGCAAGAGCACACCATGGATCTGTGGAGAATAGTCAGAGAAAATTCTGGCAAGTGTCCTTTTTCTAGGAAGGGTGAGGACAAAAAAGACCTCTGGAAAATGTCCCCTGAGACATTTTTGCTATTCTGTGTAACATGTAGCTTAGCCCACAAGGGAATTGAATGACCATGAAGTTTGGGAGTCACTTCTTGTGAGTAAAGTAATGACAGAGAGGAGTTACAGGTCATTTTTCTTTCCAGCTTGCTACCACCATCACACACCCCACAAAACCTTTGCTCTCAGCTTCCTTCCTCCCACACCTATGGGCTCCATGCAGTTCCTGGAGTTCTGTGACCTGGAAAATGCCTTTGATTTGTAATGTCCCCTAAATAAACAGTTTTAAACTCAGTCGGGATGGAATATATATGGGTTGGGTTCTTTCATCATGACAAACACACAGACACCCACTACTGTAAACAAGTAACTGCGTAGAAATGAATGAGCATCAAAAGGGTCCTGTAGGGCCAGATCAAAGTTCTGTCCAGCCCACAGTGGCCAAACCAATGCCTTGAGAAAGTTCGGAAGAGAGATTTAAGTGCAACAGCATCTCCTGCTCATGTGCAAAACTGGCAAGGGCCAAGATTTCAGGAACTAATCATTTCTGTAATTGTTCCCGTAATGGGATAATCATGCTAGAGGAGCTGAAGGCATAAGAAGAGGAAGACCAAATATGAGATGGATTGGATCCATCAAGGAAGCCACAGCCATGAATTTACAAGAGCTGAGCAGGGCTGTGAAGGGCAGGCCATTTGGGAGGGTGTCCATTCATGGGGTCACCATTAATTGGAGAAGACTTAAAGTCAGTCAACAACCACAGCTGTTCTACTCTACCATCCTGGTTAGATCTCAGCTTGAAAACTGAGTCAGTTCTAGTCTTCACACTTCAAGGAGGATTCCAATAAATTGGCACAAGTTCAGAGAAGAGCAAACAAGATGATCAGGGGGCTAGAAGTCCACTGAGGAAAGCTGGAAGGAACTGGCCGTGTGAGGAGAAGACTTAGAGAGGATATGACTGCGCTTCGCACGTTCATAAAGGACTGTCACACAGAAAATGCAACCCCAGGACTGTAAGACATGAAATTAGGATTTCAGTTATAGGAGGGAAGAATTCAGATAAATACCAGTTCAAGAGTCCAAATAGTCACGCCAGTTAGAAAACGGAGGCAACTTCTTAGAGAAGTGGAGAGTTCTCCATCACTGGAAGTCTTCAAGCAGAGGCTGGACAGCCACCTGTTACAGATGCCTTCAGGTAAGCTCCTGCCCTGAGCAGGGGTTGACCAGATGGCCTGAATACCCCCTTCCAAGTTTGTTGAGTCCATGATTCCCCAGTTACTCCTGTCGAGCCGTTGAAAAGCCACTATGGCCAGTGGGCTTCACCAGCATGACTTGGTCTGATCGTCCCTTAAAGTTATCCTGGTTGGACGCCATCACCACATCTTGTGGAAGCAGTTCCCTCCAGTGACAATGTGCTGTTTAGGAAAGCATTCCCTTTGTCTGACCTGAATCACTGGATAAGCTTGGGTTCAACTTTTGTGAGCGATGAACAAAAATGTTTCTGTGTCCACCTGCTCAATATCATACGACCTTCTCTGCCTCTCTATCTGTCCCCCCCCCCCACCCCCGCCGCCTCCTTGGCTTGTTTCTAAGATAAAGGCTTCAAACATCATAACCTTTCCTCATGAGGAGTTGTTCCTGTCAAATTAAGCACTGGAAAAGAAACTTAAAAGCACCTTAAACTTCAAGGAAGTCAAACAGAAAATGGATAACTCAATGTCTTGACTCAGCGTAGATTGAGATATGTAAACGCCAAACCAGAGACGGAGGGGATATTTTCAGCAAAGCCTAATGTGAGGAGGAGTCCAGCCATCCAACCATGAACAGCAATTGGAGATTGCAAAAGGAGCATGTAGAAAACATGCTGGAGGGCAGCACAGGTGCTTGCAAGTCTAAGCATGCAGCATGAAAGAAAAGAACATTCAAGTCTCCCAGCCTGTAGGTTAACTGCGGACCAGTAGGAAGCAGGGAGCTCGAATGGGCCAGTTCCTTTTAGTTGGAATACAGAGAATTGGTGAGGCAGAGCTCAGAACCTCCAAGTGCTGCTGGACTAGAATGTCCGTCAGCCCCCAGTCAGCATGGTCCATGGTTGGAGATGATGGGAGTTGTTATCCAATGCCATCTGGAAGATGATACTTTCCCCAGCCCTGTGTTATATTATTTATTAGATGTTTTGCCCATCCCATTAGCCACATGGCTTCCTGAGCAGGTGACAAGCAATATGGATAGATAATGTGGAGCTCATGGCAACTTTTGCCTGGGCAAATAATCTGAGAACAAGGGGCTATTCCTCTGAAGAAGTCTGGTTTGCTGGTTACGTCCTGAGGTAGTTTGGAAGGCCAGTTCTCTCCATTCTCCAGGTGTCCGAGACCTTCCCTGCAGTGCAATTGCTCCTAGTCTATTTCACTGACCAATAGAGAGAGAACTTGCAGCGGGCAAATCAAGAAGCATCTCCTTCCCTATGTGCCTGCCTGCCCCCTAAGATCTGGGTCCAAGGTCCCTCTTCGGGAGCCCTCCTTGAAGGAGATTAGGAGGGTGGCTACCCGGAGAAGGGCCTTCTCTGCAGTGGCGCCCAGTTATGGAACACGCTCTCCAGAGAGGTTCGCCATCGCGCTTTATTCCTTTCAGCGCGAGGACAAAACCTTTTTGTTTTTCCAACATTTTAAGGTTTAATTGTTATTTTAATTGGGAATTTATAGAGGACGTGATGCTATGCTTTATTTTCTTCCATTGTAAGACTGTCCTGAGAGTTTCTGTAATAGGATGAGATAGAAAAGCTTTAAATAAATAAATACTGCCATGGATGAGGTTGCAGATCAAAAAGCTTGAATGTCCTGCTCACTGCATAACTTTTCAAAGTATAAACAAAGCTGAGCAACCTTTGCAGCTCCTTTCAGTGCCCCTCCCTCTTCCAGATCTAGAATGGCGGATCAGCACACTCATACCCAGATCCAAATAAGCAAGGACAGAAGCTGCTTTAAAGGTAGGATAATCCAGCAGCAAAACCTGGGATATTAAGAGAAGCTGGATAAAGAAGGACTTTGGCTCTCGCAAATGCAGGATGCGTGAGCTTGCAGAGTTTCTGAATGCCAGCCCACTGCTCGACTTTTGACTGCATCTGTGACTGCTGCTCATCCTGTACAAAGCGGGAGATATACCGCCACCAAATGTGAAAGCCACACAAACAATTCCTGAATTGGTAGAAATTTCCAAAACGGTACAAATTTACCCATAGGGCAAAATGTGGGAGAAAACTGCACATTGTAAGAAAACTGCGCATTTTGAGAAATCAATTTATTTTGGGATGCTCTACATGTGATGGAGGTTGCACATCAAGAGAAAGTTGTGCATTTTTGCTTATACATTTCGTGAAACGAAGACAAGCTCAGGAATCTGCAAACATTTCAGAGGAGGCACTTCCATCTGTATGCCCATTCAGGATTGCCAACCCGGGCGATAAATAATTTGCAAACCAACGTGGTTTCTCATAGCTTGCAAAACTTCCTGGACTGGAACATAGGTTTTGTGTCATGCTGTCGCCCTCCACTGGACATTCGTGAACGTTACAAACCCCATCTGAAATTATTTAGAATATCCCTGAGGAAAAGTACACCTCTGTGGAAAAAAGGTTGTCCCTCCTGCTCAGGAAACTTGATTTGATAGGATTATTGGCCAGCATGGTTCTGGCAGTCATGGATTCGTCCTGAATCAAGAAGGTGACAAGAGAGTTGCTTTCTTCCTAAAGTTCACCAGACCAAGTCTGCCTACTTGTGCATCAAGGGTACGGACCAGTTGCTATAGAACAGAGGTAGGCAACCTAACTGGGGATACTATCAACATTCTTCTGCAAGTTATCAGTTCTGACATCTGGAATGAGATATGTCCCTCTGATGGAAGTCCACTGAGGGACTGACACTCTCTCTCTCTCTCTCTCTCTCTCTCTCTCTGTGTGTGTGTGTGTGTGTGTGTGTGTGTGTGAGAGAGAGAGAGAGAGAGAGAGAGAGGTT